TCAGTGGTAGAGCTCCTGCCTAGAATCCCCCAGTGAAAGGTTGGGGGTGTGGCTCAGTGGTAGAGCTCCTGCCTAGAATCCCCCAGTGAGGGGGTGGGGGTGTGGCTCAGTGGTAGAGCTCCTGCCTAGAATCCCCCAGTGAAAGGTTGAGGCTGTGGCTCAGTAGTAGACTGCTCTGCTAGCATATACAAGGCCCTAAACTGAATGCCCAGCACCACAACAAAAATGTTTGCTAGAGCAAGTAATTCACAAGTTAGGCAGTGAAAAACTTGCCACGGGGGCATTTTGGATTAGGGATGATCGACCCATGCAGGAGCTGATGGGAAGTGGCTCAAGTTAGACTTCATACTGCCCACAGCTGAGGTTAGGCTGAGACCACTGGAGAATGGTGGCTTTGTCTGCTCGGGGATCCTGCAGACCTGTCTCCTCTCAAGTTTGTTTCACAGAACACAAGAACAATTGTTAAATACTTTAAAAAACATTTTATGAGGGAAAAAAATGGAAGGTACCAGGGACAGAAGGAACTAATATTCATTCTATTCCCTTGCCCGTTCTTTTCCACATTGACCTTCGGTTCTGCTTCCAACCCGCCGTCCAGTGAAAAGTAAGTTACTTTTCCTTTTATGACTGATGTCCTTTGGTGTTTGGTGGAAGAGTCTCTATATGTACTCTCTATATAACCAGTGATGACCTCAAACTCTTGACTGTGTCTCAGCCTCTGCGGTGCTGGGACTACAGGTGTGCACTACCATACCTAGCACAGGAAATGGTTTCTACAGCTTCTCCCTTCTGCTGGGTAACTTGGAAGGAGGGGGGAGCAAAAAAGCAGGGAGCCACACCTTTATCCCAGCCCTCATGGTGGTCCACACCTTTATCCCAGCCCTCATGGTGGTCCATGCCTTTATCCCAGCCCTCATGGTGATGTATGCTTTTATCCCAGTCCTCTGGAGACTGGAAATTAGCAGCTCAAGGCTACAGCAGCTACATATTGAGTTTGAGGTTAGCCTGGGCTACATAAGGTTCCATCTCAAAGAAAAAAATAGAAAGAAAAAGGGGAGGGGAGAAAAAAAGAGAGGGGATGGGAAGAGAAGAGAAAACTGTTTTCTGGGGTTTTTGTTTTGCTTTGTTTTGTTGTTGGGTTTTTTGTTTGTTGGTTGGTTTGGTTTGGTTTTTTGTTTTGATTTTTCAAGACAGAGTTTCTCTGTGTAGCCTTGCCTGTCCTGGAACTCACTCTGTAGACCAAGTGTGCCTCGAACTCGGAGATTCTCCTGCCTTTGCCACTACTGCCCACCCTGTGAAAATGCTGTTTTTAGAGGAATTTACCCTACTTGTGGAGGAGACTCCAGGCGGCCTTCAGGCTTCACCCACTTCTTGGAGCTGCATGGTGGGGTCCCAGAACTGAGCAGCTTCTCTGCTCTCCCCATTTCCCTAGAGCATGGGACCGCAGGAGCTATGTTTGTTTATAGGTAGAAAACAAAACAAAGCAAAACAAAACAAGAAACCAAGAACCAAGTTTTCCTCCCTCACAGGGAAAGAGAGAAGAGTAGAGACCCTTTCCTGATGCCCTGCAGGTATCTGGAGGATGAATCCCCAGAGGAACTGGGGTCAGGGGATTCCAGCAGTAAGGATGAATATGTCTTAAAATACTGGGTCACAGCCGATCCAGCATCTCTGTATACAGCCTCACCAGTGCCATTTGGACTGGATGATATTTCCATGTCCCTTATGGGGTGGGCCTCTTCTGAGGATGCTCTGGCGGGATGGGAGAAGGTCAGGCATCGCTAACACCCTTTTCCTCTCGGAACCTTCACTTCCGCTGATACCCAACACCTCCACCTGGACTTCCTTCTCCTTGATGCTCCTGTTTCAACAGTATTGAAAAGTAAGTTCAGTTTTCTTCTTTTCATTTACTTTTCCCTTCTTGTTCCTGCCAGGAGGTCCCCCATTGGTGTAGGGACTGTCGCGGGGGTCCCCCATTGGTGCAGGGACTGTCGCGGGGTGGGGGTGTGGGCTAGAGTGGGACTGCACTTCTTCCAATCTTCAAAAAGGCAGGCATAGGAATAACAGGATGACTCATAGGGAAGAGCGGCTTGCGACTAAGCCTGACCTGATCCCTAGCACCCACATGGTGGAAGGAGAGAACTGACTCCTGCTGTTGTTCTCTGACCTCCACATGCGTGCTGTGGTACCGTACACGTGTACACACACACACACACACACACACACACACACACAATTAATAAAAATAAAAACAAATGTTTTTTAAAATTGGGGGCTGGAGAGGAGGCTCAGTGGTTAAGAGCACTTGCTGCTCTTCCAGAAGATCTGAGTTCAGATCCCACCCACATCTGGTGATTCTTATCTGCTTGTAACTCCAGCTCCAGGGGGATCTGATGCCCTCTTCTGCTTTTAATGGACACCTGCATACACATACACACACAAATAATAATAATAATAATAATAATAATAATAATAATAATAAAATATTAAAGCAGGATTTTGGGGAAATGACTCAGTGGTTAAGAGAGCTTGCTGTTCTTGCAGAGAACACAAGTTTGGCGACTCATATTTACCTGTAACATCAGATCCCTGGGGTCCAATGTCCTTTTCTGGCTTCTGTAGGCACTTGTATTTATGTGGTAAACACACACACAGATACACACACACACACACATAAATAAATAAAAATAAAAACAAATGTTTTTTTTTTAAATTGGGGGCTGGAAAGGAGGCTCAGTGGTTAAGAGCACTGGCTGCTCTTCCAGAGGATTTGGGTTCAGTTCTCAGCAGTCACATGACACCTCACAACTGACTGTAACTCCAGTTCTGAGGGACCCAATACCTTCCTCTGACCTCTAAGGGCACCAGGTATATGTGTGGTACATAGACACATGCAGGCAAACACCCACACATACAAAATAAAATGAATAAAAGTGTAAATAATCAATGTAATTATTAAGCGCTGCACTAACTACCCCTTCTGTCCTCCATCACCACCTCTGCTGACCTCCGGATCTCTTGGGCAGTCCCTTCAGTTCAGCTCTGCTCTGAGACCCACTGTCCAGGGCTCTGAACTCCTTTGGTCCCTACCTCCCACTGTCTAACGTTGTGATTTATTTCTCCCTCTTGTGGTCTCCTCTCTCATGGACCCTGGGCTCATCACTACTTCCTGCCTCCTGAATGGATCACAGAGATCCTTGGTAAGTACCTTCTTCTGTGTGGGCCCTGGACCTATGCACCAAGCTTCTGCTTTATCACCTTGTGTGCCAGAGTGTGGGGGAGGTGGGAATCTGAAATGTGGTATTGGCGGGTGCAGACCTCCTTGGAAATTCAGCACCTGCCATGCAATTGCCAGAACCCACGCTGGGAGTGATGGTGCTAGGAAGACACAGACAGGTGGATCTCTGGGGCTCGCTGGCCCGCCAACAGCCTACATGGTGAGTTCAAGGCCAGCGAGAGACTCTGTTTCTAAAAATAAGATGGACAGCCCCTGGGAAAAATCATAACTGGGCTTGGCCTCTGGCCTCCCTGAATGCAAGCATGTATGCCTGTGCACATGCTATACACACACATGCACACACACACACACACACACACACACAGAGAGAGAGAGAGAGAGAGAGAGAGAGAGAGAGAGGCCGAGAGAGAGGGAAAGCGAGATGGGGAGAGTAGCAGCAGGATGCTTTAGCAGGGAAAGCTCTTGCTGAAAAGCGTGATGACCTAAGTTTGAGTCCCAGGTCCCCTGCAAGCTGCCCTTTGATCATCATGTGCTTGTTAGAATACGCTTGTGCTCACGGTCACATGCGTAAACATATATACATAAAGAATAATAGTGATGATGGGGGGGGAGCGTGCTGGGCAGAGTGGCACACACCTTTAATTCTAGAGGCAAAGGAAGGACAGATCTCTGTGAGCTTGAAGCCACCCTGGGCTACATAGCAAGTTCCAGGTCAGCCAGGACTACACAGTGTGATGTTGTCTCAATAGAAATGTTAACGAATATATTATAGACTTAACAAGCCTTCCCAGTGAGAAATTACTATGCACTTAGAGATTCATAAAGAAAAAGTCTTTAATGAGCCTGAGTGGTCCAGACTAATGCATAGACGGGAACCAGCTCCGCACAGAAAACCCTGTCGGCTTATAAAGCATCACAGCCCCGAGTTGCATTTTGAACAATGAAAGCATGTCTCACAGAGACAGAAAAGCCAGGCTTTGGCTGTTTAGACAGGTGTGTGGGAGGGAGTTCCAGTGTGACGTAGTTACCCTGAGACACACTAGGGTTCCTTTACTAGGTAGCTGTCAACCAGGGTCACCCTGTCTGCCTGACAGAATCACACTTCTGGACAGGAAAACCAGAGAGCTCCTTTAGCTGAGTGCTGCTTTGTGTGAGTTAAGATTTCCTAAGCAAGTTCAGTAGACATTTGTATTATCAATGTACCATTCCCAGTTTCTATCTCAGAAGGAAGGAAGGAAAGAAGAAAGCAATCAAGGAGGCAGGCAGGCAGGCAAGCAAGTGGGCCAGAATTCTGCAGGGCTTTTTAGGAGGTGGGTGGGGGTGAGCCTGTGGGCCCTATTGCCCTGAGTTCTGCCTGGCTACATTTGTGATTCTATTTGCATGTCTCTTTGTCTTAGGTCTGCTGAGCCTCCAAGTGCTGAGTGGTGAGTTGGTGACTTGATCATTTTGCTTTTAGGGTTGGAAGAGCCTTTAGATGTCATGAAACAAATGCAGCTAGTATTCTGGGGAGAGGCAGACAGGGTGCTCAGAGTCTGAACACTGTTGTTCTCTGAGGAGAGGTGTGCAGGGGACATAATAACCCAGTGTGTCAGAGAGTGCTGGGAGAAGTTACATCTGAGCAAAGGGGGGACCCACAGACATGTGCACACCCTATGCACTTGTGTGCATGCATGTGTATCTGCACTGCACACCGGGGAATGGCGTATGTGTAGCCAGGTAGCCCGAGTCAAGGACCACCAAGGAGGCCAAGGGCAGCCTCTTCCACCCAGCAGGCCCAGAAGCAGCATTTAAAGCTGGTTTCCCATCCGTTCCCTAACTTTCCTTTTTTCTTCCCTTTCCCCTGATCTCCTTCCTCCCTTCCTCTACCGTCCCCGTCTTTTTCCTCTTTAGAAGAAACAAATAACTGCAAAGAAGAAGGTGGGTAGGGTCACGTGCCTGCTCCCTCTGGGCTGTTAGCACCTTCCCTCTGACTGAGACCCGAGAAGAGGTCAGAATTCAGATGCCTCTCAGTCTTCAGGAAGCCTCCATAACCCTCAGCCACCTTTTCCCTCCTCCTCTGCTCCTCTGTGCCAAGCACAGCAAGGTAAGAGGAGGTATTCTGCTTCTGCGGACCTCCAGTCCCCCTGCTCTGCTCCCTTGGAAATAACCGGGTAAGTTGAATGACAGGCGTGCGTGCTGGAGACAAAGAGATGGTGGATGGTGTAGATCACATAAGCAGACATCCCCCTCCGAGTGATGGTGGATGGGAGACCACATAAGCAACATCCTCCTCCGAGTGATGGAGACAGTGGAGAGGGTTAAAGGAGCTTGGATTAAGCTGTGGGGTAGGACTTAGTAGGTACAAAGGCCTGGGTCTGATCCCCAGGACCACACACAATGGGTGTGGTAGCTAAACCTGCAAGCCCAGGGCTCAGGAAGAAGAGGCAAGAAGCTCAGAAGTGTAAGGCTAGCATGGGCAGCTTATGAAGGTCCAAGGCCAGTTTGGATTTCGTGAGACTTCTTCTCAAAGCACCGAAAAGAGAAATAACACCAAAACAGATAGGTGGGACCACTGGACATCCCGATCAGACGCCAGCCTCGGTGGCAGAGTCAGGGGCTCGCAGGTTACAAGCTGGATCAGACCGAGTAGCCAATTCAAGGCCAGCTTAGGATAGTGAGTGTCTATATGAAAAGCAAAACAAAACAAAATGGACGACAACAACAGCAAAAACAACACAAAACCCCGGGCCCGGAGCCTTAAGACAGTAATTCTCAGCCTTCCTCATGCTAGGACTCTTTAATAAAATTCCTCACGTGTGGTGACCCCAACCACAAAACTGTTTCCGCTGTTGCTGCATAGCTGTGATTTTGCTACTGTTATGAATCATAATGTAAATATCTGTTTTCTGATGGTCTTAGGCGACCCCTGTGAAAGGGCTGTTTGATCCACAAAGGGGATGTGAATCACAGGTTGAGAGCCACTGACTTAGGAGGTAGAGAAAGAAAAAGTTCAAGGCTAACCTAGGCTACATAGCCAGCTGGAGGCCAGCCTGAGATCCATAAGACTCTGTCTCAAAAAAAAAATCTAGAAAAGTATAATTTCTAGCAAGTATTGGAATTCTAGAACTAAGAATATGCAGCCACCATTAAGAGTTGAGATTCTGGGTTGACAAGATGGCTGAGAGGGTGAACGGGCTGGCCTTCTAGCCCGAGGCCCTGAGTTTGATCCCCGTAGAAGATGAGAACCATCTCATCTTCTGTCGATTGAAAGACCATCAAGCGACATGTTTTAGGAGATTGTGAGAACCCCACAGAGACCCGAAATAAAGAAAATCAGGGCCCACGAGGTGACTCCATGGTTAAAAGAGCTTCCGGAACAGTCTGATGAACTGCATTCAATCAGAACCCACGTAAAAGCGAGGAGAGAGTTGGGTGTGGTGGTGCACACCTTTAATTCCAGCACTCGGGAGACAGAGGCAGGCAGATATCTGTGAGTTCGAGGCCAGCTTGGTCTACAGAGCGAGTTCTAGGACAGCCAAAGATACACAGAGAAACTCTGTCTCGAAAGTCACCCCCCACAAAGGGTGAGGGGAGAAAACAGACTCCACAAAGCTGTCCTCTGGCCTCCCCATGTGGACAGGCCGGTAGCGTGCACACACCCGCGCAGTCGTCACGCACACACCCGCGCAGTCGTCACG